ATTTAGCTTTTTGGGATTAAGAATAACTCGAACGCTATTACCGGGGTGCCAGTGAACGGTTCCGGTCTTCCATACATGAAACCGCTGAGTTTATGTATGTCGATTTTAAAATGGAAATGAATAGGATCTTTATCAAATCATCACCTTGTGCGATATAACCGTATGTATTTGAGTCGCCGTCTCGCATGTCGAGACGTTCCCATCTCGAATTTATCTAAGTCGTTTATCCCAAATAGACGAACCTTAAATCATGTCGATATTATATCTCCTCACTGCAAATGAGCGAGATCTCTTTGTCGTTGTTGAACAGGATATGCTACTATCTGATTAGTCTGAAGTGATGTTTGTGTGAATGGCTAATATATGCTATTTCAACTACAGCGAAGTAATAAGAGGTCGATTGCAAGTTTTTCTTGTTCCTGATTAAGTTTCCTTGCATACTGAAGTTACTTTTATTTGAACGCAAGCAATTTATCACTATTATGACACAAAGAATGCATCTGCTTACCTTGATTCACTAGTGACTGAAGTTCATTGGACCTTCCTTGTAGAGCTAGTCCTCCCGAAGTCTTAGGTATATGTCTTCGCCGCTCCTGTTCTGGTTTCGTATTTTTTCTAATATCTTCAAAACAACTTAGAAAAAGCAAACCCAACAAAGCACTCAAGCAAACACTCGTTTCATCTTTCGAGTTTCCCCGTCCGAATTCTGATCACACTTAGCGTTCGTGCACCACTGTGCGCTATCGCAATTCTCGCCGCTCACTGCGCACCTCCAGTCCGTTGTGCGTCGCACTCCCTGCAGCACTGACCCAATCGTCGCTCAGGGCGGGCGCCGGGGGGCCTCTCACCGGGTCCAGCGCCCAAAACTGGTCCCACAGGCGTGGTCAGAGCTGACCTGACCCAACGACTGGTTCGGGCGCCGGGCACAGCCATCGCTTACCGATAGTAAAAGTGGTAGCGGTGAGTGAAAGGTCGGGTCAGCTAATGGTCATGAAAAGATTGGGATCTGGTGTGGGTGGTTGAGTTGATGGATATGATAGCGGCGTGTGGCGCTAAGTACGCGTTTGGTTTTTAGATTTGTTACGGCATAAGTTGCTGTATAAATGTCTGCCCTCCATTTGCGTCAACATGACAAAAAAAGTGGTCGTACATAGATGATGGAAACATAGCTTGAACATAAGTTGAGACAATATTCAGTTCAACTTTCCATTCATTTTTTTTTTTAATTTGCAGATATTCGAATTGAATATGTTCAATGAACGGAGTGACGTGCTCAGAGTCCCGAGTTACATGGAGTTTCAGCTTTTAACCCTCGCACGACGCCATTTCTCATAACACGAACGACCAGGGTCCAGGGTTGTTACGACCCCCCCCTGGCGTTTCGAAACGGAAGGTCGTAGAGCTTAGCGGAAAAAACCAACGGATTGCTCTCAACGAGATCTCGCGATTGGTGGTATATTTTTGGTCCTAGGTCAACATTTGACCTACTTATGACCGGTCAAAGGTCAAATTTTCCGAAAAAAATCAAACTTTTTCAACTTTCCGCGGCGATTGCGGCAAAACGGTGGGAGATATCGACTTGAAACCTTCACCATCGTGTTCCTTGATCAATTTCTCTATCGTTTGGTATGTATTTCGTTTCCCTAGCTCTAAAAATGGCGCGTTGGGAGCGCCGGAAGTTGGCAAGGTCACAGTCGGCGGCAGAAATTCGAAAAATCAAAATTTAAATTTTTGAAATCTGATTGTATTTTTGGATTTGGGAGGTCCATTTGCTCCCTATAGAAGCTAATATTGCTGCATATTCCCATTGAGGTGACAAGAATTAGCAAAATAGTGGTTCGGGCGCTTTTCAAAAATAGTACCGGACGCTGTTCCTCTTGTGACGTCATAGCTCCGTGACCTGACCTGACCCGGTCAATTTTCTTGCACCACACGATAGCCAATGCTTGCCCCAACATGCATGGGAAGTTTCATCATGATCCATCAAACAATGTGGGTATCACCGGCAGAAAACCTAGGGATTCGGCGCACACGTTTGGTAACTGTCGGCCGGAGGCTGTACCTCTTATGACGTCATAACTCCGTGACCTGACATGACCCGATCAATTTTTTTTTTTTCGGCAAAAGATGCGCAAAGGTTGCCCCAGAGGGTATTGAAAATTTCAGCCCGCTACGACAAGCCGTTTAGCGTGCACTTCGAAAAAAACCTCAGGGGGGGTGATACAACCCCCCCCCCCCCCTAGGCGTTCTAGGGTTAAGCATGCATGGCCTGTAGAGCACTTCATGGGCCGGATAAATCCGTTATCCACGGATAAATCCGCGGACCGGATAGGATTGGATTCTAAATTTGTTAAAAAAGAACTGATATGGGCGGGCCGGATTTGGGAATTGAAGGTTGAACCCGGATCAAAACGGATCAAAATTTTAACATTCAACATTGAAGTTAAAAATTAACCTAATGTATTAAGCGGCAGCAGAGGTTTGATTAAAGTGATAGGCATCATTTTATGACACTCACTTGTCACAAGACTTGTCTTCAAGTGGATAATGTATGCAATATAATGTAATAAATGGATCAAGAAATCCCGAAATGAGAAAAATATATGTCCACACGTCAGTCAGCTCCTAACAAATGACAGCTCAACTCAAAGTTTGAAAGACAATATTGTGCACCTGCAAGCCAATACCTGTTATTTGCCTTTGCCCTTTCATGTCCCTAGGCTCAAAGTTGAATGAAAACCACACCATTTTGCCACAAACTATATATCAACCTAGAAAATTGTTCATACAATACCGATGATACAAACCATCCTTTGTACGATGCAAGGCGTTGAGGAACCCAACCGGGTAAGCTAACCAAGCAAGATCCAGTTTTGGGTGAAACCAGTTATTGGTGAAACGGATTATTACGGATATTTTTTGGAAGTTTGGCTGCAATACGGGCCATGGGTGGGCCGGATTCTGATATTCAAAGAAAGGCGGATAATGGGCGGATCTGGATACGACTTGCCGGATATGGGCCGGGCCGGATCCTAAAAAGCCTATCCGTGAAGTGCTCTAATGGCCTGTCCCCACCATCCAATCACAATTTCGGGGAATCGGGAGAATTTAGAAGTCAAACATTGGCATTTCCCTCAAACATAGCTGGATAAGTGGATAGTAGATAGTACCGGATAGCTGGATAATGGATACAAATCGGATTCGTCTCACATAACTGACTTCGACTTGCCGCAGCTGCTTCCACCAACCGCAGACCATTCTCGAAAGGTGTCTCAAATATCGAGCGCCGGAGCGACTCGAACCCGGGATCTCGGCTCGGGGGACCGAGGCTCAATCATTTCATTTCATTTCATTTCATTTATTAACCATATCAGCCACGGGACATGCCCATTTACGGCCAAAGTCACAGCACAATACTCGTAAAAACACATACAATTATGAAACAACTGAGCTTCGGGCCGAGCTAAAACGTTAAAAAACAGCACGCTCTTCTGCTTTCGCATCCTAAACGCTGGCGTGAAGATGCAAGCGTTTGGCGTCGTTTAATATTTGTACGGCATGTGCTGCGGCCTGCGTCGGAATTCCCCGTGCCATGCGGCACAGTATATCTTCAGGTGCTCGATCATCCTGCCATCTAGTAGCGAATAGCGTAACTACTTGTAATCCCTGTAGGTATCGCTTATAGATCCCGACATGGTTTCGCGCCAGTTCTATGATTTACCGGTGAAATTCGGACAGTGCCATTTTGTTAAAGTTGCACTGTTGCATGGCTCTCAGTCTAACTGGTAGACAGCTAGGTAGCATTTTCGCAATGAAAAAGCCACGCTTGATTGCCTGTTTGTTACGTTAGTCGCTAGGTAGGTAGACATAAGGTCCACATCACCGATTTGATTCGGTGTTTGAAGATCACCGCCCGCGGCCATCAGAGGTCATCGCTGGGTCAGTCGGCTCGGCGGGCCGGTCTAGCTGCCAGGGGCCGACTGCCGCCGGCGCCGCCCCGTCCCGCGTCCGCCACCTGGCGAGGCAGCACCGACACCAACGTAACCTAGAATTTGCCTAAGGCGTCCTCTCCCTCAGTACCCCCTTCCATCACCCTCCCCCTTCGAGAATCAACGGTTGATCAATGATCATTGAGTGACATTATCGGCTTGACACGTTTGGTGCTGCTGGTTATCTGAATAAACGGTGAATGTGCCTGAAGAATGCGTCTTTTGCTGTGCGATGCGGTGACGGCGCCAAGGTCTCGTGAGACTTGTTTAGGGGATGGGGAGGATACGGGAGGTGCAATGCGAAGAAGCACTCCGCAAGAGGCGGACAATGTTCGAATGCCGGAAAGATACTGATAGACAGTTATCTTGTGTGCTGTGTGCACACATCGCGGGATCCAAATGCTCGCCCCCATTGACCGCATGACTATACGGCGTAAATGGGCGGGGCTAAAACGGCCCAAAATCGAGATTGGCATAATGCGCTTCCAGATGCCCCTGCAGATGTATCCAAGTGGCCGAGTGGTTAGCGTGACGTCAGCATGCATTTTAGCTTTGAAGCTTTTGGGTTCGAGACCGGCTAGCGACCATAGTTGAGGACATGAAGCAGCAAGGCATGAAGTTAACCGTAGAACTTTGCCTTCTTTTTTGTACGGTTTTCCGATGAAATTGTTTCACAAAAAACTGCTTGTTTCACCTGAATATGGGCATTTTTAGTTTCATTTACTTTAATTTCTGTTTTAAAGTTATTCATTTTTAAATACATTAATTTTCAAATTAACTTTTAGATGGAGATAACCTATGGAGATAACGATTATTGGAATTTAATTCACTTGGATTTGCGCATTTTGATGCACAGTGCATACAAAATTTTGCTTTTTCAAGGGCACAATTTATTTTGAATTTTATTTTGATTTAGAGACAATTTTCATTGATTTTGTTTTACATGCGTTTAATTGTTTAATGGAAAATATTTAGCACAAAAATTGTTTTTTATTTTCAGCTGACTGCATACTGCGCTGAAATTGCGGTTTGGCGCTACCTGGCGGCTGTGAAAGGAAATATATACCTAGGGAGATTTTCGTCTTTTTTAACATATAATCTCAATTGATAATAATTTACGGCATAGCAGCCGCATGCCGCATGACGTGAGTAGATTGTTTTCAACTTTCTTTTCATGAAGGCTAGCATTATTGATATCGCATTGAACACTTTCATCACGATATTGAGATTGGCAAGCTTAGAAGGCGTCACCAAATGCAAATTGATTATTTAATATGAATATCTACCAGCTTGGTCATGAGGGCTTAGACTGAATGTCTTTTAATACATATTTTAAAAAAGGTCATGGGTCATTGTTACGTGATAGTTAGGTAGGTACCTTCAGTTGCTGATGCTATCTGTTGAGGCTGAATGATGCGTTGTTGAATAACCAAGACATTGTGATTGTTTCATTGCCTCACTAATCTGCATTCACAGATGATGGACTCCCAGAAGTTTTGCCTCAAGTGGGATGGGTTCCAGAGCAGCGTCACCTCCGTGTTTGACCACCTCCGGCGGGACGGTGAGCTGGTGGACATCACACTCTGCTGCGAGGGACAGCGTGTGAAGGCACACAGGATGATGCTGTCGGCCTGCAGCCCTTACTTCAGGGATCTGCTCAAGGTGAGGAAGTGGGAGTTGTTGACAGACAAACTCACAAGTCACATGAGTGCTACTTAAGTCAGACATTGTAACAGTTTGACCTCTCTGCTTCAATTTTACTCAGAACTTGATATGGAAATGAGAAGAGCTGCATACAACCTGAACCATGTGAACACAATGACTTCCTAACTAAGAATTCTGGGAATTTTCACAATGTTCAATTGACTTACCTTGACATATCACCTCAGTCAACTTGGGAGCCTATGTGTCAACAAGCCTTTTCCTCATTTGTGTTTTCAGAATAACTCATGCCAGCAGATGGTCATCTTTCTGAAGGACACCAGTGCCCAGGATCTGTCCGCCATCATTGAGTTCATGTACAAGGGCAGTGTGAACTGTCACAGACGCAGCTGGGCAGCTTCCTGAAGACGGCCGAGATGCTGCAGATCAGGGGCTCAGCGGGGAGGATGAGAAGGTAAGAGTCAAACGTAGACCTCTATGTTTATGGGTTCTTTAAGTCTTATATCATGCAGTGCTCTATGGATGATATAAAATGTGTGGATTGGAAGGGAAAGAGCAATGGGAAATCATACATGTGCAGAAAAATGTGAATTTGACACACTGAGATCTGGCTTGGGTTTGTAGTGATGTATGCAAAGTTGTGTAATGAGCTTCAATTTCCATCAGCCACATATCATGTTTTGCCAAGCAACATACCTAACCTTTCAGTTCTTGTCAAGTCCACAAACGACAAAACAGTGCAATTCAAACTTTACATCTATTTCGCAGACGTTTCAACGACATTATGGAATGTCTTCTTACCAACTTTCAGTTCTTCTCAATT